GCACTTTCTCTAAGGGAGAAGAAATGCAGGACGGTAAGAGAAATGGCAGAAGCAGCTGATACCTTCTTGGAAGCCCAGCGGCAAACAAACTTGTTGGTATTTCGTACCAAGTCTGCAAACAACATTCCCAAGGAGCAAGAAGGATTTACTTATACCCAGCCGCCTCTTAGATGTTTCGTCTGTGATCGACCCGGCCACAGAGCATCTGATTGCCGCACGAAACCCCAACGAGTCTTCTGTGGGCACTGTCGGAAGCCCGGCCACGATGCAAGAGCATGCCCAAGCAACGGCGGGTCAAAGAAAATGACATCTTGCATCGTGTCTACTGACCAGAAGTCCGAGACGCCTTGATGTGCCGATGATTCATCACAAGATGAATATGTTGCTAGTGCACTCCGAACGCGCACCGCAACAGCTACACGAAACTTGCCGGTGTTACAGGGAGAAGTGTTTGGACATACTGTATCAGTCTTGAGGGATACTGGGAGCAACACCCTGGTCGTGCGACGTTCCCTCGTTCCCGATGATGCGCTGACGGGTACTACCGCCACTATTTTATTGGCCGATGGTAGTTGCATCGAGGTACCGGAAGCAGAAGTACGGATTCTATCGCCCTATTTCACCGGAAATGCGATAGTCAAATGCATGACGTCACCACTTTACGATGTCATCGTAGGAAATGTTCCCGGCGCCCGTGACGCTAATGACCCCGACTCAACGTGGAAGGAGTCAGCGAGCCTGAAGTCGGAAACTAATCAGGCATTGAATTCTGAAGAGAAGTCCAAGGATGGATGCGGGACGAATAGCACAGTCATGGTTGGTGTTTCAAGCAAAGGACATCGCCGGAAGCTCACGACTGCTGAATTGGGAAACTTAGAGGTGACACAGGAGTCATTTCGCCAAAAACAAGAGGAAGACCGGTCGCTGGATGTTTGTAGGGCGAAAGTCGACACCCTCATCCGCGGCAAAGGAGCCACATACCACTCATTTATGTTCGAGAAAGGAATCTTGTACCGCGTTTACCACTTGACTCCGGGTAAATCAGTTCAACAAGCGGTGGTTCCAAAGGCGTTGCGTGTCCATGTGTTGCACTTGGCACATGAATCACCGATATCTGGTCACCAGGGTATCAAGAAGACGAAGGACCGAGTTTTGGAGTCGTTTTATTGGCCCGGTGTACAGGAGGAGGTACGAAGATTCGTAAAATCATGCGACGCATGCCAAAGGACATATCCCAAAGGCAAAGTAGGCAAGGCGCCTCTTGGACGAATGCCTTTGATTGACACGCCATTCGAACGTGTGGCCGTTGATATCATTGGACCTCTGACGCCGATTTCAAAGAAGGGTAATCGGTACATTCTTACCCTTGTGGATTTCGCCACTCGGTACCCGGACGCGGTGGCTTTGCCCGCAATTGATTCGGCAACAGTAGCAGATGGACTACTGGAGATGTTCTCTCGAATAGGATTTCCACGGGAGATCCTCTGTGATCAAGCATCCTGCTTCACGTCAGGCCTGATGGAAGAGGTGAATGCTCTGCTTGCTATTCGACATTTGAGCTCGACGCCTTACCACCCGATATGCAATGGCTTGGTCGAAAGGTTCAACGGCACTTTGAAACAGATGTTGCGCAAGTTGTGCCAAGAGAAGCCGAAGTCATGGGACCGATTTCTTGCGCCTCTGTTATTCGCCTATCGAGAAGTACCTCAGGCCAGTATGGGCTTCTCGCCGTTTGAACTGATCTACGGCCGGCACGTCCGAGGACCCCTGGATATACTGAAGGAACTCTGGACAGGGGAAGACCTAGAGGAAGATATCAAGACTACTTACGGATACGTGCTTGATCTGAGAGAACGTCTTGAACGCACCTTGAAGCTGGCTCAAGAGAATCTCTCCCGAGCTCAACACTCGCAAAAGAAGTATTATGACCGAACCTCCAAAACCCGACAGCTCAAAGTTGGTGACCGGGCTCTTATATTGCTCCCAACCAGGGAAAACAAGCTTCTTATGCACTGGAAGGGGCCATTTCCGGTTACAGGAAAAAAGAATGACCACGACTATTGGTTGGACCTTGGGCACACCACGAAAATGTTTCACATAAACATGCTCAAGCGCTACGAAGAACGTCAACCAGAAGTCACTAGCCAAGCATTTGAACAGCCGGATCTTGCGCTGGAGTCTCGCATTGCAAGAGTACACCTTTCGCGTTGAGCATATCAAAGGATCAGAGAACGTAGGTGCTGATTATATGAGCAGGCTACAGGTGTAGGTGCTAGCTATACAACATTAATGTAATAATGTACCATATGCCTAGGGACTCTCACATACAGACTATTCTCTTGGTGCAACAGTTCTGTACCTTTGTTTGTCGTAAGTCTTGTCTCCCGCGCACTTTGGACAGTTTTTTTTTTTGAAAAAAAAAAAAAAACTTTTGAAAGGGGGGACTTTTGTCATGATATGCGCGGTAGGTTCATCTGGTGCGCGATGTTTGTGAGTTTGTGCTGTGCCGTACGCCGACGAAGATGACGATGAGACAAGGAAAAGGCGGAATCGTGTCGGAAAGTCAAGCCAAGCCATGGGGAGGGGGAAGAGGAAGACGACGACGGGGCGTTCGAGAAGAAGAATCCGAACGGAACAGTGGCAGGCTGAAGTGCTCGTCGGGTCGTGGTCCCGAAGCCTACCTGTGCCTGTGGTCCGCACGAGCCTGGCTCCCTTCTACCGTGTGATCCAGCAGCCGGCGCCGGTCCGTTGTACTCGGATCCGGGCGTATTCCAGACCTGGGCCTACTACTGGCTGTCCGGGACGTGCTTGTCACACATCGACTCTGCCTCACGCTCCGCTCCGACCATGCCTGAGTCATCGCTGATGTCGGCGTAAGACGCCAACGCAACGCATCGACTCATCTGCCTTCGACGTCACACGGTGAAGTGTTTCAAACCTTGTGTAGTGCAGTGGGGGACTACGCTAAGCGTCAGACCTTGTCTTTCGAGAACGTATGTCGTGCTCGTACCTAAGGCAGTTCTTCGCTGTTGCCATGTAACACGCCAAGCTTCATTATCGTTTTTTTTTTGTGGCATTAAAGCCTTATAACTCAAGTTGCAAATGTCTTCGTCAGTCTCGACAACGATTATTTAAGTTGCCGTGATTACCCGAACCTTATCCCTCACAGCTGTACAACACTTCTCTCATTCTTAAAGACGATAGTCTTTCTTGGCATACCTCAACGCGAAAATTTCGGTCTGTTTGTCTGACGATCCAGCTTCGCAGCAAGAGTTTCAAGCCTGCACTCGATGGACACTCATCTTGATATGGTGACTGCGTTCATACTTGTGAGCATTGTCAATCAGAAAGCAAATATTACGCATACTTTGAGGTGCAACATCAATGTAAGTATTAGGTATTAGGTAGAAAATCCGCAGATACGCAATCCTAAAGACCGCAGTGCTGACAATGCGACGCTATGAACAAGAAAGCTTCGCAAAAACGACACAGTGCTACCACCTACCAGTTGCTCTGCATTCTAAAGTACTTTCATTTCTTACACATCACTGCCTGATGGTGCCCATATCTCACACAGCCTAAAGACCTTCGCAGTGTAGAGTGCCTCAACACTCTCCTCACTTGCCTCTTCCTAGGTGAGAGAGGTGGGCGAAGAGAACAGCAAGGCACTCTCGCCTGCAGACAGAAGACTATCGTCACGTCTTTTACAGTGAAATATGCAGATACGTGACCAATTTTACTCTTTTTCTTTTGTGATTTTGACATAGTATGGCCCTTACAGAAGAGTGGGCATTCTGGTCCTATTTTTTTCTTGACTCTATAGGAGTATGAAATTAGCGGTAATCCTCCATTCCTGTCTACCACCCCAAAATCGAATTTAATAATTTAGATAGCTTAGTTTTATTTGTCCCTTTAGACACACCGGGCACTTGGCAATTAGTCCTTTCGTGCCCAGCCACTACTGCTTATACTTGGTTCACGAGCACATTCATGGACTTTGCTATCTGTCAGGAATTCCAGTTTCCTAACCATGTTATCTGTCTGGGAATGGCAATTTCCGTTTATGGCATGGTGAATTCCCTGGCAATCTAAAGCTCTTCGCAACCACTTCCAACGGCACTGCTTTTCACACGCCAAGGGCCCACGAACGTAATAGTGGCAGTAATTGACTCTAAATTCATCTAGCAGGTGCAATGTCGCTCCAAGTTACATGTTCGAAATTTTGGGTAGCTAAGATCGCAGTGAGACCTACACCGTGCAAAGGTTTGAACAGTACTAAACGAAATTTCATATCGCAAAACACGATTGCACACTTCAAAGACGCCTATTACACGCTTGGCGAAACACAACTTCTGCGAATTAAAAAATTGCGGGCTTGCTCCCCAGCAGCAGAAAGTTGTTCTTATTCACCCACTTTCACTTCACCGTATCTCATAATTACTAGATTTAAATTTAAAAGCCCAAAAAATTTTCACTATGCCTTCCATGAATTCATTTTCAGTTTACTTCATATGGTGACTAATGAACATTGCAAAGTGAACACAAAAACAATAAAAAAGAGGAAAGATACCACAAGCGCTGACCTCAAACTTGGCTTAGGCTCAGGTCGGCACAAGTTTTACTATGTTATTTTAGTTTTTTTTATATTTCAATGTTCATAAATTGCCATGCAATTACCCAACATGCCACTGTTCATATTGTTACGTGGATTACGTACATGTATAGCAAGTACAGGACCCTTGACTGACTCATTTTATTTTGTTTGTGAACTGGAGTAATAAGGTGTGCAACTTGGCAGGCAGATATATCCACAGTTTATGTTACAACAAAATGCAGAGCACTTTAAATATTTATATTTTACTGTGGTACCCAATGGGTGATCCTTTCAACATGCCAAAGACAATGGTGGCAAGAGAGTGACACTACGATTGTACAAAAGATTGTACGAATGTTTTACAATAAAAAAACCACAGCAAACATTGTAGACTGCATGAACTTACCTCAAGGCCAATAAAAGTCTGTACACAATTTGTTCTGTCAAGGCAGTCGAGGCAGTTTGTGCGAAATGTTCCAGTCTGTCGCCTGAAAAAAAAAAGTACTTTCATTCACTTGTTACAGCAGTCATTTGCCACAAGGTCAGAGGTGCGTACGATCTCAATGTTGGATAGTGACAAAAAATGCAAGATGGCCTAACATACATAATACATAATGTAATACATAATGTGTATTACATTATGTATTACATAACAAGCGTAATACAATTATGACAGGCCCGTCTCAATCTACTGTTTCATAGCTGCATTTAAAACTCTTTTTTCCATGTTCTGTCCAATATGAAACTGTACAATATAAAAATTCTCATACATAAAGCACGCTACTATTAAATGTTCCCTCCTTTAAACACCACCTTTCTTACAACCAAAACAAACGACATTTACACATGCCTTCTTTAAAATTTTTTTTTTTGTGCAGGTAAGTTAGATCACGACAAGTATGTTCATTTTTCTTTATGATATGTGATATATACCAGGCTTGTACGGATAGTGAACTTTAGGTTCGAAGCACCGAAGTGAATAGTGAGCTTGGTTTGAATCAATTTTGAATGGTACATATCACATACTAAGAAAGAAGGCTAACCTACACGATATGTTTTAAACATTGAAACACAGCCTGTGAAAATGCCATCCTTTTGAGTAGAAACGAAGTAGCAACAACTTTGAATAGTAGTAACTTTTGCTAGAATGCAAGCTATAACCTGTTAAATATGTTACGTTATAAAGCTTAGTGCATATAAACCGGAGTAACAAGCTTTTAAACTTTAAAAATGATGACCGAATGCGACCGTAACATCTTCATTTAACCTTGAAGTAAGACTTTGCAGCAGTGCAGATTTTCCTTGGACAGGCCTTTTCACAGCATCATACCCCTTCACTGCAGCGAAACCACCTTTACAAAAAGCTACAAGCGAATACATTTATTTATTAATTTCGAATGCTTTGAAACTACCAACAATATGAAATCAATTGTTCGAAGCTTTCAAGTACTCGCACAAACCTATCATATACTATTGAAACTCGGTTTAAAAGTATTCAACCAAATTACTATTCACTTCGAATTCGCTTTGAACCTAAAATTTACTATAATGCCTAGTATTTTTGTTTTTTGCATTACAACACAGTGGACCAAGACTATTAAACAGAGTCATAGTAATTCCCAGTATGCAAGATGCGATTGGCAGTGAATGCTAAAAAACGTTAGCAATGTTCAACTCACATGATGACGTCGTTGCCATCAAAGTAAAAGCAGCCAAAACTGGTCAGGTGTGGCGAGATCTGGTTCTTCAGGTGAATCAGATTGTCTTGCCGGCCGCCCCGACACAGTGCATGATAGTCGAATGACACCATGGACGCTTTGCGCCGGGATGCCTTCATGTGATGCTGCATGTTCAAGCACAAAAGTGAAAAGGTGTGACAGGTTAATACACTGAGCAACAAACGTATCACATACAACATATACAAGGCTTAAACTAGCATCAGGCAAGCATGGAACTACTCTCACTCACGCCCAGCAGATACGTACATCTCGCCGTTTGCACAATACGCAGCCATTCCTTCAAACGCATTTTCAGATGCACTAACGCGTTCAACTCATCGGCCTTCCCGACAATGCTGTCGACATTGACAATCCTGCATTGTTTCGTCATGAAGTCACAACCATTTTATCATCACCAGTGGCTTCAACCTTCCACTAAACCATGTGTAATCCCCACTGCTAGCTATTGTATAAATTATTACTGTAATGTGATGTATGCTTACAAATGAGCATCTCTGCCTTTTTGTTTTTTAGCTCCCTGTAATGTTCACTTTTGCTAACAACTATATAACTTTATTTTTTGGTTTTATGTACTATAAAACATATTGTGTTTCGACACTTTAAATATGATTATGCACTGTATAATCCCCCTGACACAATACTCCGGCTGGAGCCTGTGGGGGGCTTTGTGAATAAATGAATACTCAAAAAAGTGTGTTTAAGTTTATAAAGGATAAGCACAACACAACTCAATCACATTCTACTGAGCTTTATCAACACAGTGGCCAACGTACAATGTCTCAATGATTATGAATAGTTATGTACAGCTGTTCACATAATTAGTATAGTAATAATTGCTGAAGATTATGAGGGCTTGGAAACTGCAGACATGAAATCAAACAAATAAATGCGCAAACCCACCTCGAGGTATCAACATGCCCTAACACAACAAAAGCTGTGCCATATTCTTATTTTTCAGTCGTGCTCACACCAAGTGAGTGCCTTCCTAAACTTAAGTGATTTTAAGTACTGAATTGCAATGCATTTTAAGACTTGCAGAATAAACTGGACCTAGTGAAAATACACTCAAACCTCCTTATAACGAAGTTGCATCTTAGACAAAAATAGGTTCATATATATCACAAAGTTTGTTATAAAGGTATATTCCTAACACTATGTTTATTGCAAGATTATTCATTTACTTCGTTATAACCATTACACTCGAACCTCATTATAGCAAACTTGTATCGTACATGAAAATAAGTTCGTTATATCCTAAAATTCGTTATAAAGCTTTATTCTTAACACTAAATCTATTGCAAGACTATTTTTATTTTACTTCGTTATAACCGATATTTTGTTATATCCAGATTCGTTATATCGAGGTTTGAGTGTATTTCATTATATCTGGGTTCGTTATGTCGAGGTTTATGTGTACTACATATGCGGACAAACTGAACGTAGGCCTTCGGATGCCAATACGTGATGCTGGAACTATCCAGGAAGAATAAACAGAATAATAAAGTCAATATAGGAAGTGCAAAGTGTACCTGAAACATTTGTGTAAGCATTGTTTCCCCTTCTTTCGAGCCAAGGAGGTTTATGATGACTTGGTCGCCGTAGCGTTCCTTGATCATGGACATGTGCCTTTGAAAAAAAAAGTGCACGATATCAAATACTCCCAAGGAACTGCACCGATGGTGTGCCCTTTGAAAAATTGCTACACAAAAAAAATCAGGGGAGAAAGCCACCGCAAGGGGATCTTAAGACTGAGATAATGTACCTTTCAAATGCTGGCACAGACGCCTCACTACCTCTGGACATCTTGACTCTGTGTGAACCAACCTGAAAGAAAATATGCCATAGCGAGTCAGACAACGCTTCATAAAGAGCATTGATACACATTCTAAGAGTTGTACGAACTTCATCGTGTGCCGATTACGCATAAAATAATGACATGAAAGGTGTACGCAGGTCTGGACATTTCAGGATCTCGAGATGCTGGACCTGTCACCTTAAAAAGCGATTGTGTCACGACACAGGGTAATATATGTTCATGTCACACACAAACAAGCCTAGATGTAATGTTCGTTCAGACCTGCTACTTCATGGCGAAAACATAAATCATCTTCCTCTGCTTAGAGCTATGCTGATTTATAAGTTCTGCATAAATGCTTTCTTTTAATGACAAGAGCAAAAAAATTTATATCAATGCTCTTTAATTATACCTCTTCACAAATGGCCAAGAAACGGTGCTACAAAGCTTCAGGAATACAGCAACAATGTACATCAGTCAGATATATGTACAGCTAGAGCAATTTGAATTATGACAGTTGATTCATGATGGGTACTACTGCTACAATTTGGCATTCAGCCATGTGAAAAGGTTAATAAACTGTTTCTAGAGTGATTCACTGCTGATAATCATAATTGAGGGGATTTTCCACTTCAAAGCTGTACAACAGTTCATGCTGCTTGCCACAATAAAGGGTTCAAAATTCATTTTGATGATCCAGTGTAAAAATGCACACTTTTATACAAACAAGAAAATTACACTTCACTGTCTTATTCCTTTTAATCTGTCAGTTACTTAAAAGTACACTCAAAGCATGATATAACGAATTATCAGTTATAATAAAATAAGAGAAAAATAGCTATGTCATAGATACAGTCTTACAAATGTCTATAACAAATCTTTGGACATAACAAAAGATTTTTGCGGCAACTGTAACTTCAATATATTGAGGTTTGAGTGTATGAGCTTTTTCATACACCACTGGCTTTTGAAAGCAGCCATGAGAGCCGAAGAACAAACCTGCAGCTCCGTATTGAGCAATGGCTGTATAGCACCTCAACCACCCATTCGTACTCTACAATAATGGGTGACGCAAGGACTGCTGCGTTAAGAAGATAACACCACAGTCTCACAAGTACTATTGAGAGCCACAGGTGTCTGTAAGACTTATGAGCTCCCTTCAAGAAACACATTTGCAGGAGCCAAATGGGTGTGTTAATATCAATGGTATTTGCTTTCATTCGTTAACACCCATATTTGACAAAGCTGAGACTTTGAAAGATGACCCTAATCCTTTGAAAAAGCGATTAGAAGCCAGTGATGACAAGAATATCGCCAGCGCCAACACTTTGAAAGAACAGCAACTGGCAAGGACAAGTTTCCTCATCAAAACATTGGCTCTGGTAATAGCTTTTTAAAAAATTTTCATCTCGGTGAAAGAAAGTGAGGGGCTAGGCTAGAGGGCAGGGCATCTATTACTGGAGCTCCATGCAAACATTTCGTGCCCTGTTGAGTCTACTACTAACCTGAACACCAGGTTGTTCCCAAAAGAGCGGCACAGAGCCTCTCGTCTGGACGTATGATGTGATCTGGTTTTCCAGGTAGATCACCTGCATAAATATTACGCCGGAGGTGGAAGATGCAGCATAGCTAAGGTTACCCAACTACAGTAATGACTAGACAGTGAAAAAACTGCATTTGTGCTTAGCCTGAACGTATAGCAACTCTGGTAAACCACATGTCTCGGGGTTCCATGCATTGTACTACACCCCTCTATAGAGCTCACATTTAGCAAAGCACAGTCTGCGCAAGTTAAAGTTAAATAAAAGAGAAACAAGTTAAGTAAAAAATAAACATTGCACGCTGATGACATGAGTAGTGTCAAAGGAGGTAGGGAAGTCAACACTGCAGCGTTGTTAAAATAAAGGCAAACCTGGCTCAGTTTAACCTATGTTATGATACTGCCTTTCAAATGGTACTGACACTGCCGTGGCAAGTAGTGTTGCTCAATTCACTTAAAACTCATCCATGTATTTAAACAGCCAAGAAACAATGCTTCGAAACTAAAATCGGAGTGGGTGGCTGCTCCGTACAAAGTCTACAACGGTGAAACACGCCTCACTGAATGTGCACATGATTATAGTGCAAGAAAAGAGACGCTGGCAATTTCGTTCGACAATGCTGTCGACCTGCACCAGCTTTTCGCAACTTTACAGCAGTGATTTCAGCGATGATTTGAGACGCAAGGTTCTTTCGATCTACCGATAAAGGAGACAGCGATCTCCGATTTCGATCTCCGTTTGCTTTTCACCTCCTGCTAAGAGAGGCCACTACGTGGGCTACCGTGTCACAAAATGCGGTGGTCCGCATCCAAATGCACAATTCTGGAAGTGGTCACCTTGTTTCACCATTCATTTTGCGGAGTTGAAGTTGAATTGATGTGAATTGCAGTTGCATAGTATGGCACAGTTGATTAAATCCTAAGGTACATTGAAAATTTTGCTCAGAGCAATGGTTACTAAAATATTGTAATGGTAATGACAGCATTGCTTTGACAGTTTTGGTATCAAAAACAGCTATTCTTGTAAAATTTTTGTGAAACTCCAGTTCATTTCTGAAACATGAAATTTCACCCACAGGCTCCTTTATATTTGCACGTTCAGAAAGTAGGCTATTTATGCTGCCTAAAATTTTCTTGCAGTCGGCTTTCAGGGATGACTGATTACACGACAAGGCCTACCCAAGTCAAATAGGCATCGCCCCAATTGCCCTAACCTGTTCAGTCTCCACGAAGTTGGCGACATGGCCGTCGTCGTTGGTGCCGCGAACATTGAAGCGGGTGCCGGCCCGCTCGCAGCTGAGCCGCGAGATGAGGCAGGCCTTAGCCTGCTGGTGACCCAGGTAGATGGTGCGCATCTCGACACCCCCGCAGACCGCCTTCAGCAGCCACTTGTTGCAGTCGACGCCATACCGAAGCATAGGAATGTGCAGGGTACGGTTCCTAGAGGGGCACGCGCGTCAGAACTGCACGGCTGCGGTGCTGAGAATCACCTCGGCAATATCTCTTGAGTGATACGGGGCTCGTACAGAATATACTAGTAAAAACTGATCTTTTTCCCGCCACAATGTGTAAAGGAGGGGAATGTTACTGCACTGGTTGGAGGGAGGTGGGGGATCAGATACTAGAACCTACGTCAGTTAAAGTGAAGGAGTAGAGGTGAGCTCTCATCTAACCCTAATCGCATACATATTAGAAAAGAAAAAAAATTCAGCCATGAAAAATTTTCTTTTAAAAAAATGCTTTTTCAAATGTAAAAGTTATCTTCCCAAGAAACTCATGCACATCTACTTTGTATTTTAACTATACATACAAGCGTACATCTGAATATATCCTGTTACTTGTTTCTACATGAATTCACATCACTTTTCTTTGGTAGCTGCAACTATTTTGTACATTTTCTCTCCTTGAATTTTCATGTACACTCAAACCTCAAAATAATGAACCCGGATATAATAAAATATCGCTCATCACGAAGCAAATAGAAAGTTGTCTTAGAATAGACACGGAGGAAAACACCTTTATAACGAGCTTATTATTGTGTAATAGGCAACTTTGTTTTGACTGAGGTTCAAGTATTCATTTTGTTCCAATAAATTCATGATACTTATATTCTCTTCAGCGTTCTTTTCAGCCAATACTAGCTATTGTATAATCCTGTATTTATATACCATGTCTTCTTTCATTGCCTTGCTTTCCTTAAGGTATTTACTATTGCTTTTTCCCTAGCTTTGCTAACACATTTATTACTGCATTCTTTGTTTTACAAGCTGCATTCGACACTTAAAGGGGCACTGCAACAATTTTTCAGCATGGTCAGAAAACGCTGCCAATCTGTAGTAGAGGCTCCTGACAACATGCGAGCCAAATATTATAGCGCAGCGCGTGGCCTCGAATTCACAATAAATTATCAAATTCAACTAAAAATAGCTTTCTGTTCTCTCAACAAATCACAGAAAGTAAGCCCAGTAAGCCCATCTATCAGCCATTGGCTGATTTGAACATGGCGCACTCGTCTGTTACAGAGGTCGCCGTGAGAGGCCGTCACTTGTTGACCCGTGCGCACGCGATTGCACTAAAAAAGTTGTGCATTCGAAGAAAAAAAAAGAAAAAAATGCTCAACGTCACGAGGCGAGAGTGGCATTGTTTATTTGCCTCCCCATACCTCCCTGCTCAGTTTCCAGCGTTTTGGTCGGGATGAGAGAATAGAGAATGTGATTCCAGCGTGTAACAAATTTTTTCAACTCCGCTCGTGCTGGACGGATTCTTAAAACTTTTGCAGTGTTCAATTTGTGAGGTAATACACTTTTCCAGTGAAATAATTCTATGGTTACTCAAAAAAAGTGTTCCAGGGCCCCTTTAAACCCACATGTGTTTCAGTATTGCAAGGATCCCTTGTCCATTCTCGTAATCATAAAACCTCCCAAACGTAACACGTATCACAAACAAAGTCATGTTGCACACAAAGAAACCCAATAAACTTACTTCAAATGATTGGTGAATGACAATTTTCACTCTAAAGTGCCCACTAATCAGGAGTCACGTACCACATCTGTGTCGAACACATCATCAGCAGCGGCAGCAGCAGCAACCTCATAACTCACCAGAAGAAGCGGTTATCCGTCTCGCTGGTCATGACCGCGCGCTGGGCACACAGGGTGAGGTCGAGGGCTGGCTCCGCAGTGGACGGCGTCCACGCAAAGAAGAAAGTGCCTGCATTGAGCACCTTGCGCACGTCTTGCACCTTCTCCAGGTCCTGGGCGCTGTTGCGCAGGGCCACAAAGAGGGTGTCTGTGATGCGGAATATCTCCGAGGCACCCAGCTTGCCCACCGACTGACACCCGGACACCAGCACTAGAAACTGGACCACCGTATCACCTGCAGTAGCAATGGATTCGGCTGCTATAGGCAATTCTATGAATGCAATATTTGGTTAAAGAGCTCATTTATCAGAAATTCTGGCAATATTTATTTTCAATGAACATTTCCCAGTTTTGTACACACACAATGCATCCCTACGGCAGTTCTCATGCAAATGAGCAGCATTGTTAAGGAGTCTCGAAGTGGGAGCCCGCTCCCGGAAGACACGTACACAGCAGACACAGTTGAAACAAACCAAAACATTGCCTACATTCATTCAATTACTTTTACATTACCTATTAAAAAGTTAAAACGAACTGGCAGTCAGCACCTGTCTTCGTTTGTCACACTCTTTTTAAGTAGATCTACACCAACTAGCCCAATTAGTACATTGCTTCACTAAGTGATGGAAGCGACATTTTGATTCTTGGAGCAGATTCCGAAGCAAAATCCAGAGCAGCTGTTTTTGCAGCTGAAAGCAACACTAGTTTGGAGGAACTATTAATTTTTTCAGAGTAGATGAAAAAATATTCCAAATGACTCCTGGAGCTTAAAGCCCCATCTAAGCTTGTTATAGATATGAATACTTGTCAAACATACTGCACATACAATAATCACTTGAAATAACACGAAACAAATAACTAAGCAAGTGGGTGGTCACTGAACACTAAGTAAGTTGAGGAATGTATATTTGAAATGCCAATACTTTCAGTAGATATCACATAAAAGTGATAAAGCTGAGCACCGAATTCCAAAAGCAGCAATTGCCACATCTAACCATTGCTGAAGTGGTAGTCTATAATCGGTATGAGCACTTTATGTGCCTCGAAAATTTCGAAAGTAAAATAAGCTAAATGAGCTATACACTTCAAATGTCAGTTCTTATTACCTAAATGAGTTCATCAATGTCGTCATAGCAGCAATTAGTGATCATTATGATACTTAACAAATCTTGCATACATAGTACATGTAGCATTGTCAATGTGCTAGTATACAGCCAGTTTTTGTTTTCGTTTAGGCTCACTGATTGGTCACCCGATTGAAGTTCACTGTTTTCAGTTTCCCAGCTACATTTTGGAGCAGGTTTGGAGCAGTTACTGACAAACATTGCACTTTGTAACAGCATAGAGCAGCATTTCTCTTTTGGAGCAGTTTGAAGCAGCACTTACATCACTGTAATCACTAGAGAGAAGCCTAGGGCACTACATTTGATCTGCTGAGTTAGCCACATGAGAATGCTGACTTAGGTACTGGAAACTTAATTCAGGAGCCATAGTAAGACCTTTGACAAGCTCAGCTGAAGTTTACATGTTTAATACTACAGAAAAACAGGAAATTTTCCACACATAGTTTCATCATATAAACCACAATGACCTGGAGGCATTGCATAAAAGTAAAATCAAACACATATAATAAAAATGTGATAGTAACATAAAGAAAAACATTTAGCAATATAAAGAGATATAGGTGATCAAAGTGTGTATACAATCATAATTAGAAGCACATTATAACAAAGATCCTCAAGAACTGAAGAAAAACTAAACATGGCTTTAAAATCTCATTAGAGACATCTACAATAAGGGTGAAATATCACAACAACAATCAAGCATATAGACCTATGGGTACAGTCCCTCAACCAATGAGCTGCAATTAATGTCAGATAAATTTGCTAAGACCTCACTCCAATAAGTTAATTTTCAAGTGAATTATGTTACTATGCTAACTGTTTACACTTCAATAATAACTTCATTGCATTTTTTTTTATGGACATACACACTTCAGGCAGAAAAAAAAAGGTCATTAAGTTATTTCAACTGTTAGTGATGTGGAATGGTTCTCAGGCTTACTTGTGATAACACAATAAAATACTCAGCCTTACCACCTATTCATTACAACTGTCTTAATCTTAACTAAACATTGGGACCACGTTTGAAATATCGCAACATCTGAGTTAAGAAGAACGCTCAAAAGTCATTGACACAGATCTTGAAGCTTTTGAATGTGACTGAATACATGATTGCTAATAAGCGAAGTAAGTTGTACACTCGCAAGAGGACCCCATGTCAACAGCCAAAAGCTTTTCAGGGTGAATGAGGTTTCTTGCACAGAAACAAGCAGAAAAATTGTAACGTTCCCATCACCACGATGCTTAACTACATTTATCAAGATTTGATGGCTAAACTCCCGCAAGAATAACCGTACTTCAGTCATCTCAAACTCTCATATCAATGCAGCAGTATCCGCAAGCTTAATTGCATTAAAATTAAGCAGGGCAGTGCGAGAACAGTGTAAAATTCAAAGCTTCAATGAAGTTTAAGCTTACATGTTTTGAGGTATAGATTCAAGCATAACAAGTCAACATCTGCACGAACAAGAAAATATAAATTTCACTCCAAGAAGAGGAAATGAACAAGCTGATTAAGGCCCAGCACCTCATTTCTCAAATCCTGGCCGTCTAGAAGGACCGCGCAAGGGCGGTCTGGTTTAACCGTCCTCGAGTGGCCTAGCCAGGTGACACTGAGTTAACTCGCCTCTATTCTGAACCCAATACAGTTATTTAACCCACTCCTCCGCAAGAAATGATTGGCTTTATTAAAATTAAATTCGGGGATTTTATGTGCCCAAGCAATGACATGGTTGTGAGGCATGTAAATTCTGCGTTAATTCTTACCATTTGCTGCTCTTTGTGAACACTGGCATCTTGCATTTCACCCTGATCAAAATGCGGCTGCCATGACCGAGATTCAAACCCTCATCCTTACACACTGGGGCACCATAGTTATTAAGTGACCATTATGGGTAAGAACCTATGGTTAATCGTTTCATAGATAAACACTGTGTGAAGCGAGTCCATGTTTTTGTACTCAAAACTATGTATCTACTTCAGCAGGTGCCAACTGCGTCATTTACTTACTATTAAATTTTCTTTAGTTGTTTCAGTAAAATCATGAAATGCTGAGCACTAATGAAGTGATTGCTTTATTGTAATTTTTTTACACGGCATTTTTTCCTACAGTTGATTTACCACGAGCAAGAATCTCAGACAGCTTAAAGCATGTCAAAGTCATTCATTGACGCAACAAAGATTAAAAAGTAAGTGATGTCCCAGTGTGCGATCATCATCCAACAAGTGATCAATGAAAATCAGAGTTCACTCATTCAATAAGCTAAACCAATTTAGGAGCAGGACTTCCTCTTTCACAGCTATATTTACACCTCATCATAAATGATGAGGATGAAGATTACCTTGAAGTGAAGACTAATGAGTTACTTCTTCGTAAACTCAATGGATTAGGTTTTTTTTTGAGATAGAGCATTGTGCTAGAAGCATGCCAAGCAATGCTCATAATTTATCAAACTCAATAACGCGCCAGGGAGCAGATGTGAAGAGAGATTGGAAATAGTGCCCGCGATAGTTAAGGGACAGTCACTGGAAGGTTAGAATGCTTTGTTGTTTTTAATACAATACCACAGTTTCACCCAGAGCAAGCACTAATGCCACCGTTAATAGCAAAAATTTCAACTTAAGCTTTGTCGCCATTGATAAAGCTTAATGTTGGAACCGGCTCTCTTAATGCAAATGGCTTGTATAAGACAGTCTTGCAGTGTTTTTATGCAGCCCATTACAGTGCACACGCCACTGGCAATGTAAAAAACTTGCTACTCTGTTTCCAATGTTTCTGAGTTAAAATGTTTTTTTTTTTTTACATGGAGTCAAACAAGGCAAACAGAATTAAGGGTAGGATTACATCTAAAATACCAGACCACTGAAAGACAAGCACTCACTTTTAATTCATTTATTTCCAGCAATAGCAATACATTGTTTGAGCATTCTCGATGGCCACGCTGGTCTTGTCTACAGCTTCTTCATCACAGCGTGCGTTTCTTTACCAACTTTGTTTTAACATCGCTCGTCAAATTGGAAACAATGCTATTCCTGTCACAACAACCCAAAAAGATAAATGTTTCTATTAGCGTGTCACCCATGAAGACTTCCAGCTGTTCCACCTGCAGCACTTGTTTACCACGCGCTCAGACTTCACACGTCCAGGCACTTCCTCCGAAAGACGATGAGCACAGCAAATGGGGTAAGCTATTCCACTAACCTGCTGTAAGTTGCAGCACTCCTAGGCAGCCGTGGACATCCAGAAGCATAGTGTATTCTTTTTTCACCGCGTCCGTTTCTTGTTGAGCTAAATGAAATGAGAGAAAGAGAAAAAAGAGTAATTGCGTGCAGCATGAAAACTGATCCTCACTTTTATTTATGAGCATACAAGCATGCATTTAATGCTAAACATATATGGGAATTCTAATCAATAAGTTAACCCATGTAATCAGTTCACCCAGTGACTACTGGCACTGACAAGGGAGGTTGGGGGTTCAATTACTCCCCCCCCCCCCCTGAAATTTTCTATCTGCGCATGTGTACATGTAGCTGGCACTCATACAAACACACGCACAAATACGCATAAATTTAGAGTGGTCTAACCCCTTAACCCAACTTCTCGAAAAAAGTTTCCGAGTACGGCCACTATAACTTACACGGCTGTCACACTAGCCCTTCGTGGCGTGCTAGCACACTAATCGAGCCCAATGCATGTTCGAGCACTACCACACGTCATTTCTGAGCGTGCTTCGACGCAGGTAGATTCGGAGCGAATCCCGCAACTTCCCGCAGTATTATTTCAAGAAGCTCCGCAGCTTCACGATGGTGGGGCGGTGTTTCGGATCGCCACAGTTTATTATCGTTGTTCAGCTGAGCAACAGATGGGGTCTGCCAAGTGTCAAATATTGAGAGGCGATCCCTGCGTGATGACATGCAGGGACTCCCTGTCATGCCATAGCGATGTACGCATTCGGATCACAGTGGCACGACATACGAGCAGCGCATTACGGATTCGCAGAGATCATCCTGCGCGGAGCATGAAGTATTCCGGCGAAAGCCAAGAGCGAGCGCAGAATCTCCATTGAGGGTTCCAGAGGTTTCGCTCTTCGATCAGGAAAAGAGTTGAGAAATTGCGGCCACGCGTAGCGACGATGGCAGCTTACGGACCGTGACAGATGGCACAGAAGCATGACAAATGTGGGGCGAGGGATTCGCAGCGCACGGTGTCGACACAGTTCAGCGACGCGCCGCAATTAAACCGTGCACTCTGGCGTGCGCTAGAAACTGGCCACAAGCAATCGAAAATGCCGAGACATTGCGGTTAGTAATCTGAAATTCAGCCATAAAACGCGATACGAGCCGCGAAAAGGAAGGATCAGGTGATTATCCACAGGTAGGAAGGCGCAGCGCCGGAGATAAGCGGCGATCGGCGCAACATTTTTCACACGGAGGACGGAAGCGAGGTTGGAAACTCACACAGCACAGCGATGGCCCTGGACTCGAACAGGAGGGTTTCGTTCTTGGAACGCTGTTCGAGGAGGACGCTGTAAGGGTTCGGCGGCCGCACCTTGTGGTAGATGCGGAAGCTCTTGCCGAGAGGCATCGCGAACGCGGGAGTGCTGCCTGACGGCGACGAGCTCGGCCGACGGGGCGGTCTACCCCTACCCTCTCGTCAAGATCGGCGCAGCCTGGCGCAGCCGAGCAAAACTTTCGCTCAGCTTTGCCGCACGACACACACAGAGCGGCCGCTCTCGCAAAGACGAGAATTCGCGAGAGAAGAACGAGATGACCCTGGACAGATGACAACACCTAAAGCTTCGAAGTTTTATGTTGCACCAATAAAGCGCCGAGGTCATAAAAAATCTGAAAACAAAGAAGTTGAATTACGCAAATCTATTGTTAATTGCTTATTATTAGTCCAATTATATCTATCTCTACAAAATATGCACCTTGAGATTTTTTTCCATGTTTTTTTTTTTGTTAAACAGAAACCCTGAATATTGAACCAAAACCTTACGTAGACCACCAAATTACAACCTTATTTTATTGTCTGTACATGCAAAGTTTAGGAGCTAAGAGTGCGTCATTGCTTCATTATAAATATATGTGTTTTCGAAGCTTGCGACTGGAAAGTTTTTGGTTTCAGCAAAGTGAAGTAACAGCCAACAATCGACACACATCATTTCTCTACGTTACTCAAACAAGCACGTGCTGCCACCTAAACTACACTGCGCGAACTTCAATACGACCCCCTCTTTCTTCGGCAGCCTTCCTGCGCTTGGGAGCGAAAAACAAACAAGAAATCATAGTGAACCTGCGGCGAGTTTGAAAAGACGGCGAGCGAAGCACTTCGCGCGAACGCATACGTTGCCGACGACGTCTGGCAATACGTTGTTGTGTGTGCGCGCGTGTGTGTGTGCTGGCAGCGCGCGGTTGAGAAGGAACGTCGGCGGTCGTCACATGTGTTGCGTCGACGACGATGTTCATCGCTGGGTCGTACTCGTACGACTCTTCTACGGCACCGGCTTTGGAAACAGTTGGGAGTACGCCTTCACCGTGCACTCGATGAACGTGCGACGATTAGGTACGTGTTTCGGGACCATTCTCATCGCTGCATATATATTCCCGTGCAATGAAACCGCGTTGTTTAATTTTGATCGAAACAAGAAGGGAGCTCGTTTCTTTGTCGATATAACCTAACCCAAGTAAGGTATATCTTGTACAGCTTTATCTCTATTGTAGTGATTGCACAAACAACGAGAAAGTGAAGTGAACGAAAGCACAATTTGCTGGATATTACCTTACCGGGCACATGTGTACATGTAAATAACCTGGTAGTGAGTGCACTTCCGATTGACCTCACTATCTGTTGATTTTCAATAGCGAATTGTCATCCGTGGTTGGTCTCAGTCTCGCTCACTTCTTTGCCGCGATCGCTCGATTTACTGCACGCGCTTCGAGCATGTGTCATTGTCACCATCGCGATGCTTCGTACCACAAACACGCACGCAGAACGTAGACACTTGTCCGTCCCAGTTAGCCGCGTCACTCATCCCTCTATCGCCGCATTCGCTTCGCACATGTGGCGGTGACCGCGGTCGTGCAACCCTGGAGCGACCGTACGCAGCTAAAAAAAGGTTACAAAGCCGTAAAAACAAAACGATCGAGCGACGCTACAGTAGCGTTACGCGCGTTTGCATCCTTCTCCCACGGTTACTGGATAAAAAACAAGGTTGTTTTTTTTATCCAGCGGCCATGGTTCTCCTTACTTTATTATTCTTTATTCAACGATTACCCCGCATTGCCCAAAGGCGTTACAGCAGGGAGGGTTACAGCAACAACATAAACAATTCTTCATTCTTACAGCGCACTTGCGTGGCAGACAATCCATTCCACTCTTTAACAGTTCTAACAAAACAAACTGCATATGTGTGCATTACACTGCTCTTCCACGGGTCGCCGTCATTAATGATGAGGATCGTCGTGTGCGATTTACTCCGGCGAAACAACCCCATTGCGTCCAAGCCTGTCTCCGCGTCGGGTTGCGGAGGACGTCCGCTAGATAATGGACAGACACAGGCGTATCCTTTGGCCCACTCAAGTCGATATTGATAAGTGATGCTCTCTTTTTTTTCCAATCCTTCGGCCCACTCGAGTCGATATAGATTAGTGATGCTCTTATTTTTCCCAACATTACGTGGGTTCACGACGTGTGATGATGGGAAAGAATAAGAGCTTTGAGCCTCCGATTAAGTGTTTTCTTTATTTTTTTATTTTTTTGTGCCACGCGGGCTGGAGACGATAAACGGGAGCGGAAATTAAGAAAATAATAGTAAACGCTGAAGTGGCAGGTCTGCAGTTTCGCGTCGATTGTTGGAGTGGGTCGCTGAAGTGTGACAGTCGCTGTGGCGCGACCCTGAGGTGCCGACGCGCAACCACACGTACATACCTGTCAATCAAACGACGCGGCGTCCTAGATTCACCGCCCAGCGTTGCGTAAGAAAATCGTCGTACACGTTGCGTAAAGAATCTCGTGTGTGCTTTGGCGACAAAGAAAAACAAAAGCGACACTTGCAGATAGTTTAATCGCCGCCCGTGCCGCTCACTCGATTGCTGCAATTACCAGCTGGCCGTTGCTAAGCCTTATTGAATGAATTGACTGCGGAGAAAGTAACTTTACGATTAAAATAAACTGCGCCGTCATTTGAGCGCCTGCTCGATCGGGCTTAGTTATAAACGCGTGTTGAACTAAAGCCGTTAGCTGTACCGACCACTGCCATATCGCGTGATGACGTACTGTATGTTCTCGGCTGAATTATGAAGCCTAAAAAATAGAATAAAACGTTATTTGTTCGTCACACATAAAGCTTCATTTTACAGCCCGATTTACATCTTCACAGATCTTTTTTTTTTTCGTTAACACAATTAAAGGCAAATTTAAGAGCATTCATGAGAAAAATATGGAAGCCGGGCGCAGAAAGAAGCATTTTTCTTGCTATAGCGAAATCGTCGTTATTACGAATATTTTTTTTTTCATATAACCCCACATCTTTCTCACCGAGTTCATTTTTAGCATTTTGTATGTATGGAAGTTTTCTGCCTAGGAGACGTGTTACTGTCTCTTCCTCAAGTTCCACTCTTCTTTAGATATTTACCGTATTTACTCGAATGTAACCAAAACTTTTGTTTTTTCAAATTTTTGTAACCTATGGTCGACCCCCGCGTTACAATCAAATACCGAAATAAATATTTTTGAATTCCTGAACACAATAGAAGGTCACACCGCACGCTACAATCGTGGTCGGGTTACAATCGAATAAATACGGTACCTAGGATATTGGTGTCGGGGAAGGCGGATGGGAGCGAGAGTAACTGCCTGATGTTGCGAGCGGACAAGCTCTTCGAAGATTTATTTTCATTTTCGCATCGTAAAGCGTTCATGACGCTTTTAATAACACGGTATCCCTAATGCGACGGAACATCACCTTCGCCATGTGGATGGCCATTTCACGTGGCGAGTTGTCGACTCACTAGCCCATAAGTATATAGTAAGCTATCCACACGCGTCCGGAATTCTCGCGTAGTTCGGCCTCCTGATATCTATCTATCTATCTATCTATCTATCTATCTATCTATCTATCTATCTATCTATCTATCTATCTATTTATCTATCTATCTATCTATCTATCTATCTATCTATCTATCTATCTCAATTTAAAATCACAGAACAACTCAAAGCGCTTACAGCGGTTAAAGACGTTAATTACGCTCTCTCATGGTCGTTCTTGTTTTTGTTGCCCTTCACTGGTGGCTCATACCCACTGTGGGGGATCGGCCAATAATTGAGTGATCTCATACAGTATTATTCTGCTTGAGAGTAAAGGAACTTACAAATTGAAAACGTTACAATTTTTAGAATGAAATCTGGATGATCACTGATCTGTACTTACTATAAAGTTTTTGTATTAGTAATAGATAATAACCTAGATAAGAACCTATCTTTAAGAAAAAAGAAATAAAAAGGGAGAAGGTACGCGTATGTAGACACAGAAGAATAATATTAGTTTGTTAGTCTTTTCGTTTCATTCAGATAATTCCGCACTCTCTCGCAAACTTTCGCACTGGCCGGTGGCCGCAACATTTTTTTCTTCTTCTTCATCCTATTCACTGAATATGTTTATTAGCACTCACTGCTTCTTTTTGGAAATCGGCCCATCCTCCCAGATGGAAGTTCTCTTTTCTTTTCTTTAATTTAGTTTTTTTTGATACTTGGTTCATTTCTTGTTGTCATTTATAGACGGTGGACATTCATGTTTTACACCGCCGAGACAACTATATAGAACTATCTAAGGTTGGCTATCTGAACCCGAGGGGGGGAGGGGGGGAGGTGATTGTGTTGTGTTTCTCTTTGCAACCAGCAGCGGTTACCGCATGTCTACTATAAAATTCGAGTCGCAATGGATATGAATGTGGCGCCCACACGTGACACCGTGAGCTATTTATACGTGGATATATGATGTCTAAATAAAGAAAAAAAGTTAGTTGTAAGTTTAGCATGCTTTATGCCCTTTCGCCTATAGCTTTATTTACCTGAACTGTGTGTGTGTTGTGTGCAATGCGTGTATCCTCCTCCTCTCTCTCTTCTCCCTCATTCCCCTCTCCCCCGTGCAGGGTAGCAAACTGGACTTAGTCTTGTTAACCTCCCCTCCCCCTTTTAGATATTTGCTCTTCTCTCTCTCTTACTGCGAAATTGTATACATACGACTTGCTGGTGGGACTTCTTAACGTCCAGAGGACGCGCATGCGTTGTCAGGGTGGTCATGCACGCCGCATTGAACTCGACCATAAGATGCTTCGCATCACACCGTGGCCTCCGAGATTGCGGGCGCGCGGCGGGTTTTCAAGCAGCGCGCCCGCTGTCTCGGAGGCCATGATCGCACTACGTTCGCATCTAACAAACGAACACCTCCGTTGGTCATCCACTTCCACAGAGTGAAATGGCGCGCGCGAAGGCCACAGGGTCAAATCCCGGCCGCGTTTGCCGTTGTGCGTTGATAGGCGTGCGTTCGATAACTCGATCCAGGTGTTTTTTTTTTTTAGGGGCGAAGCTCCTTAGGGCGTGGGCTGTGCGTCCCCTGTAGCCTGTATGTAGCCACCTCTAGTTTAGTTCTTGCAGTGTTCACTAGATGGCGGTACCGTCCCCTGTATGTAGCCACCTCTAGTTTAGTTCTTGCAGTGTTC